TTCCAGAGAGAAAGAAGGTCACATTAGAGCAGTGGTTGTCAAAGTGTTTACTGACCCTTGTGAGTTCCTGAGACCCTTTCATGGGGTTTGTGAGGTCAAAATTAGGCGAAAACTGTTTTCATAATACCTACTAAGATGTTATTTGCTCTTTTTTTTAATTGCTAAGAAACACATAACATAAAATTTACCATCTCAACCACTTTAAGTATACAGTTCAGTAGTGTTAACTATATTCACATTGTTATTCAACCAATCTCCAGAAGTTGTTCATCTTGCAAATCTGAATTCTGTGCCCATTGAACAACAGCTCCTCTTTTTTCCCTCCCCACGCCAACCCCTGGTAGCTACTATTCTGTTTTCTGTTTTGATAAATATGGCTGTTTTACTCTCGTACAGTATTTGTCTTTCTGTGACTGGCTTGTTTTACTTAGCATGATATCCTCAACGTTCACCCATATTGTAGCATATGACTAAGTTTCCTTCTCTTTTAAGGCTGAATAATATTCCATTTTATGTATACACCACATTTTGTTTATTCATCTGTCCGTGGATATTTATGTTGCTTCTACCTCTTGGCTACTGTGATGTTTCTTTGCTCTTTTCACTGAGTTGACATTTATACTAGTGATGCAAAGCAATGGGCAGGTAAAACTGCAGGTGCCTTAGCACCAATCAAGATGGAGGCACCAAATTATACTATTAGTTATTGTAGTCATTGTTGTCACATAGTTATAATGGGGAAATTCCATTTAAGAATATCTTTTTCATGTTTTGTGTGACAAAATTGGAAATACGTATTAAGTACTTCTGATGCACACTGGAGTTTTCTTGAGGAAAAGCCCTTAGGCAATTGTTTGGGTTATGAACCGCTTTTATCATGAAATATTATTTTGACTTGAAAGAATGACTGCCAGAAAAGCTGTGGTTTTCAGACTTGGGTATTTCATAGATATTTTCTTGAAAATGAATGAAGTAAAAGCGTATCACTTTAAGGACAACAACTATCAGTGTTCATTGTCAATGATGAAATTTGAGCTTTCATCTGAAAATTAGCAGTTTGGAAAATCTGTATCTGCCACTGTGAGTTTGCTAGCTTCTCAATACATAAATGACTTTTTTGATAATATTGGTAGTGATACTAATGAATGTGTGGGTAGGTATTTTTTTTAATATTGAAGAATGAAATGTGTCAATGTTGGGAAGATTTGCATAGTTCAGTGAACCAGTATTTTCCAGTATAGGATGTTACAAAATTATGCAGGGATAAAAGCCATTCAAAGTGCAAGATAGACCAATGGTTAACTTTACAGAGTATGAAACATTCTTAGATAGGGTTTTAGATTTCACTTTGCAACTAACCTTTAAGAAACTTCACTTGTTGAGTTTTAGTGTAGTATTAAAGAAGAACATGCAAAGGGCACCTGGGTGGCTCAGTTGGTTAAGCGACTGCCTTCGGCTCAGGTCATGATCCCAGGGTCCTGGGATCGAGTCCCACATCGGGCTCCCGGCTCAGCAGGAAGCCTGCTTCTCCCTCTCCCACTCCCCCTGCTTGTGTTCCTGCTCTCGCTGTCTCTGTCTCTGTCAAATAAATAAATAAAATCTTTAAAAAAAAAAAAAAAGAAGAACATGCACAGTGATCTAAATGGGCTCTTAAAATATTCCCTTTTGCAATAACATGTCTCTGTGAATCTGGATTTTTTTCAAATACTTCAACCAAAACAACATATTGAACAGATTGAATACAGAGGCAAATATGAGAATCTAGCTGTCTTCTATTAATCTACACACAAAAGAGATTTGCAAAACCGTAAGGCAGTGCTGCTCTTCTGTTTTTTTTTTGTTTTAGAAAATAGTTATTTTTATAAAATATATTAATATGTAATGAGTTTATTGTTATATCTAAATTAATAAATAAATAAAAATATTTCTGTTTTATTTTCTAACATGGTAAATATAAATAGATGTAACCCACATATACAAAAAAAGCTCTTTTGGATCCAATAATTTTTAAAAATATAAAGGGTCTTGAGCCCCAAATGTTTGAGAACCAATGAACTGGGGAAAAGTTATTCATTAAGCAGCAGGGAATGGGATCCAGAATCTAGTGAGAAAAGTAGAGGGAAAGGTTTTCAGAGAGGGAAAGCAGAGAAAGATCTGTGAAGCATGTGAAGTAGAAAGATTGCTATGATGAGAAATGAGAAGTCACTTTGGGCGAGAGATGGCTTATCTTGCCTGTGGCGTCCTGTGAGGTTAGTATTTGCACAGGTTCTGTAACTTGAACCCAGATGTCTTCCCAGTTTTCATGTGATAGCAATGAGCTGTTATGAGTCGATTTGTGGATTATAAGCCCAGTTCAGCCCAGTCATTTGATTAGAATGGGTAAGTATGTGGTGAACAGAGTCTTTGGGACTGTAAATTGACTAGAATGTAACAGATTTTTACCACCTGCCTCATTTCCCATAACTCACTCTGATATCGGATCCAGAAAAAAGTTCTACCTGACCGTATCCTATGTAATAATTTACAGCATTATTTTGGAGCTCAAATGTATGTTCTTCCCTTATTTTGTATTGTACCTTAGGAAAGGTTTAGCTCTACTTTTTTCTTTCCAATCTGTTTCTACACACTTATCTATTCATCAGGTTTGCTTTTCTGTCCAAAGGAGAGAACTTTGTGGTCTGCATAGCAATGTGAAATCACCAGTAAACATGGGCTAGATTGTCCTGAGGGGTGGGACATGTGGCTTATTGTCTGATCAGAGGTGGATTTCCTGCAGAGCTAATGATACCTACACATCAAGGCCCCAAACATGTGCGGACTCCTTTCATATTTGTAATGTTGAATCTTTCTTAAAAAAGAATACCCCTCTCCCCAATGGCACTAGGTTCAGGCTTCACAAAACCTAGTTCTGAGGGTTCTGTGTACGGGTCTAGGGGATCTAGGAGTTAGCCTAAATACGGTTTTGGGTGACTAGGGCAGATACAAGGAAGGTTGTTTAGCTGTGATACTTGAAAAAATTCACAGCTTTGCTTTCAGAGCATTTATTCAACTATTAGTTCAACCTATAGTAATACTTAATCAAATTTAAAGGAATTCACAAGACTTTTTTTTTTTTTTTTTAAGATTCCATCCATTCATCTGACAGAGAGAGGCACAGCGAGAGAGGGAACACAAGCAGGGGGAGTGGGAGAGGGAGAAGCAGGCTTCCCGCTGAGCAGGGAGCCCAATGCGGGGCTTGATCCCAGGACCCCGGGATCATGACCCGATCCGAAGGCAGACGCCTTAATGACTGAGCCACCCAGGCGCCCCTACAAGACATTTTAATCTGTCTGCCATGCAGTATGTATTCTTAGCACCGAGAAACAGCTCTTTTTCCATATAATCTCAAAGCCGTTCTCACTGGGCTCCTCTTCAAGTGAAGCCTTTGGAGAGGAGTCAGCAATGTTTGTACTTTTCAGACCCTCAGGTTCTGAGTGAACTTTAATGTTTATTAAAGCCTCAGAGGGCGCCTGGGTGGCTCAGTTGGTTAAGCGACTGCCTTCGGCTCAGGTCATGATCCTGGAGTCCCTGGATCGAGTCCCGCATCAGGCTCCCTGCTCGGCAAGGAGCCTGCTTCTCCCTCTGGCCCTCCCCCCTCTCATGTGCTCTCTCTCATTCTCTCTCTCTCAAATAAATAAATAAAATCTTAAAAAAAAAAAATAAAACAAACAAAAAAAAGCCTCAGAGCTCAGGAGCATTTTAGCATTTTACCAACTCTTAGCCGCCTTTTCTTCTGGACTCTTCAGCCCTTTTCTCCACAGTCTTCTACTATTTGCGCTCTCCGTGCTCATCATGTAACAACAAGAGCAGTGGCAGCACAGCACGGTGCTCACCTCTCTGAGGGTGGAGACTCCAAACCCTTATTTTACGGATGAGAAAACAGTCTCAGAGAAGGAAATGCTAGAGCTGAGGCTCAAACCTTGGTGTTTTGATGGTAACATCTTTACTTGTTTCATCTTTCTGCTGTCAGCCAAATATCTTGTAATGAGAATCTGGAAAAATCCCAACATAAAGTACTGATGTCCTGGGGCTTAGAAGCTTTTTTGTTTTTGTTTTTGTTTTAAAGCAGGGTAATGTTTTATTTTTTAAACTGGGTGTTGGGTACAGAGGCATTGTTTTATTGTTATTATTTATACATACTTTATAAACATTCTTTTTATGACTAAAAAATACTTTAAAAAATTGTAGAGAAGAGGGGCGCCTGGGTGGCTTAGTCGTTAAGCGTCTGCCTTCGGCTCAGGTTATGATATCAGGGTCCTGGGATCGAGCCCCACATCGGGCTCCCTGCTCGGCAGGAAGCCTGCTTCTTCCTCTTCCACTCCCCCTGCTTGTGTTCCTGCTCTCGCTCGCTCTCTCTGTGAAATAAATAAATAAAATCTTTAAAAAAAAAAAAAAAGATTGTAGAGAAGAATAATTATTGTATTTATGACATACGTTTTTACTAATGCAAGTCTAGCAATAAAAAATACAAAGTAAAAAGCCCCATACATTTTTACCACCTAGAAACACATATTAAGTGATAATCATTCCAAAGTATTCTTTATATACAGAAAGGATAGATAGAAGGGAAATTATTAGTATTCATTTAGTTAACTACTGTGTGTAACTGCCCTGAATCTTAGTGGCTTATAACAACAAAACCCAGTTATTTACTCAGGCCTAGAAGTTCTTTAAAGTTGGTAAAAGATTTGGTTCCCCAGCCAGTTTCAGAACTGCCCCCAAACATAGAGGAGTCTTTTAGTTCTCTGATTCCAGTGGCCTCTAGGCAAGCAAACCAGCTGTTGCCTCATATATATACGTCAGTAACTACGGTCAGTGTGGTTTCATTCCTTAAGACGTGTGGTTCCATGTGGCTGGCACATATAGGCAGTTAATGAAGACTCATGAACAAATGAATTAAAGTAGTGGTGCCTTTGTGGAGCTGGATGCTTGATACCAATATCTCTTTTTGCCTGGCTTAGGTATTTGGCTCGAGTAGGGGAGCTTGAAGCAACGGACACTGAAGACCTGACTCTAAATTATGGCCTTGTTGTGGACTGTGGCAGCAGTGGCTCCCGGATTTTTGTTTATTTCTGGCCAAGACATAATGGCAACCCCCATGATTTGCTGGACATCAAACAGATGAGAGACCGCAACAGCCAACCAGTCGTTAAAAAAATCAAGCCAGGTACTAATCAGATTATATTTTGTTGTCAGTCTCTTTTTATCTGTTGCAGGCATGCGAGAGGAGAGAAGAGGGAGAAGGAAAGCTACCCCCCATTTTTTCCTTGAGATTCTGGATAATGGAAGGGATATCTCATTCGTTGCTGCTCCCATCCTTGCAAATAAATAAGCGTTTAGGACCTTAAGCAGAACTTTATGGAGAATCAGTCTTCTGAGTCAATGTGATCTGCTTTTTAAAGTGTTTTGTCTTACTTAAGGAATCTCTGCAATGGCAGACACCCCAGAACATGCCAGTGATTACCTTCGTCCTCTGCTGAGCTTTGCTGCTGCCCATGTGCCTGTGAAGAAGCACAAGGAGACACCCCTTTACATCCTATGCACAGCAGGCATGCGGCTTCTCCCTGAAAGGTGAGACGCAGGGCCTGAAAAACACGGGCAAATGGGTGGCACGAGAGTTGCAAGACTGACTGTATGCATTGTTCTCTGTAGTTCCCTGGTCTGAAGGTGGGCTGTGGGCATACCACACAGAGTTGACAGGTGGCACTACAGGACTCCTTGCTCAAAAGAGAGCAGAGCCACCCCTGCACGTCATTACTTCACAATCCGTTGTTCAGAGCTTCATGTCGTTTGTTTCTTTGGGATCAATATCTATGTGAGATGGCTGTAATGATTGTTAGTTCTGATTGAGAAGCAATGGTGATGGTGATACATCTGGAACTCTAGACGGAGAGCATAGTCAGAAGTGTCGTAGGAGGTTCATCCGAGTGACCAGGTACCTGGAGGCCAGTAGGAAAGGCTCTGGTAGGAATGCTGCTCTGTCACTGCCTGGCTCCCTGGTGATAGTTGGTGCTGCTTGCCAAGCTCAGTCTCCATTGCTTTAGACCAGTTTTTTCAGTCCCAACCAGTCCAGTGTCCACTTGACCTTGGTAGTTTAGCCCAGTATTTTGCCACCTGATCCCTCTTCCTTCTCTGGAAGAAGAGGAGGAGGAAGAGGCAGTGACTATATGTAGGTCACACCCCTTCTTGTTTGTGATGTCTCCCCTTCAATACCTCCCTGACCCTTCCAGACTTATAATGGTCATGGGGTGGCAGTGAGCTCCCTTAACCTTAGAATTCGTCCTTCTGGAATGTTCAAAGTCTCATAGGCATCAGGTATTTTTTATTAGCTTAAATATTTTTTCTTGGTAAACAGTGACCTTTCCCAGAAAGTTTTATTTTGTATCTTGGCCAGCAACAACAAAAACCTCAGCCATGCATGTAGGGCTTCATGCTACTTACGCCAGATGTGCTGGATAACATATGTCCACAGTTCTTTCAGTGGACTTCTTTCCTTCTGTTTAAACACATGGTTACTGGTTTACTATCTAGGCTACTGTTGAGAAGGAGATTATTTTATATAGCCATTTATGGAAACGAGAGATCTTCTAGCCCCTTATTTTTCCATATATCTTGACCTTTAAAAATTTTTTCTTTTGTTTTTATTTTTAAAACCAAATTTTAAAATATTATAGCTGCATTAAAGGAATCTTAAAGGTAAAAACAAAACAAAAACAAAACCCAAAACACATATTCCTACTGCCCTATCATCTTATCACGTTCCCTTCTCTCTGTACATCTACAGGTAGTTTCTACAAAGTTGTAACCATACTGCGCATGCAATTTAGGATTTTTAGTTTTCACATAAGTAATATTCACATAGTTCAAAATTTAGAAATCCTGGGAAGAGTATAGGTGACAAAGGAGTGCCACATCACAGGTCTGTGAGTGGTCTGCGGTCGGCACCAAGGAAGGGGGAGGATGGCCAGAGAAAAAGCTGACTCAGAAGTCAAAAAGACAGAGCCGACCAGGAGGTTGATGGTTTGGCCACGTTTTGTGGGTCTGGAGCAAAAGAGGATTGTCTCATCTCCTGATGCCGCTCAGCATTCACTTTGTCAAAGAAGTTTCCATCCGGACAAAACCTACTATGTAGTTCCATTCCATTTGTCTAAGATGTTCACTGTCTGCATGGAAGCTCTGAATATTAATATTTCTTTTATCTTAAGAATTTGTGAAGAGCTTGCCTTTTAACTTGTCTTCTGATCACCTCTTCTAATAATGCCTGGATCTCTCCTGGGCTTATGAAATCATTGTTCCCAATTGAGGCAGCCGTAGTTGTTGACATAAATGCAACCATCACTGTAAGAACCTGTTTTGTATAATTAATGCTTTGCTAATTTATTAGCATTTGTGAGCAATATTCAAAATGGGTTCAGATCACCTGGACTATATTTTGAAATGTGTTAGTCCTAGGTTTTATTCTTTGCCAAAGGCCTGAACTAACAATTTGTTTTACCTCATTTTCATTTTGTGATGGAAATATTCTTAAAAAATTACAAAGATAGTACAAGGTGATATATAAGGGAAGAAAAAACTTTTGTTATGGGAAGTTTCAAACATCAAAAAAAAATAGATCATGATGAATCCTTATTTTCTTACCACCCAGCTTCAGTAATTGCCAACATTTTGCCATTAAAAGTTTTTTTAAATAAGAAACAATAATTGAATTTTAGAGAATCCCGTGCAGTACATGAAGAACTTTTTTGTTTTATTGTTTAATATAAATTGGGATCATATTATATGTACTGTTTCATAACCTATTAAAACTCAGAATATAGGGTGCCTGGGTGGCTCAGTTGGTTAGGCGACTGCCTTCGGCTCAGGTCATGATCCTGGAGTCCCGGGATCGAGTCCCACATCGGGCTTCCTGCTCAGCAGGGAGTCTGCTTCTCCCTCTGACCCTCCTCCCTCTCGTGCTCTCTCTCATTCTCTCTCTTGCAAAAAAAAAAAAAAAAACAAACTCAGAATATATCAGACATCTTTTCAGGTCAATGCATATAGATCTATATTGACCTCATTTCTTTTAACATCTGTCTAGTATCACATTGTATGGATATACCACAGATTATTTAATCAATACCTAATGATGTGCATTTAGGTTATTTTCACTTTTTCATTGTTTTAAGTAGTGCTGCAATATTCTCTTCCTTTTTGTATTCTCATCTGATGATTTCTACAAGTGTAATAGCTGGTCAAAGGTTAAGCACATTAAAAATGTGGATACATAGTCCCGGATTGCTCTTAGAAAGATCATACCAGTAATTTATATTCCAAACAGCAGCGTATGTTGGCGCCTGTTCTTCCATATCATCACCAAAACCAGCAAGCCCTCTTCTTTGGGTATTTTAGAAGCATATCCAATAGGGAGGGCAAAACAGTCCCTCTTGTTCCACATACAAAATTCTTATTGCAAGAAATTAATATGTATAACAGTGAGCTTTTTTGGAAACTGTACTTGACAGTATACTGGGAAATTATTACTTTATTTTTTTTTAAAGATTTTATTTATTTATTTGACAGTGAGAGACACAGCAAGAGAGGAAAAACAAGCAGGGGGAGTGGGAGAGGGAGAAGCAGGCTCTCCGCTGAGCAGGGAGCCCGATGCGGGGCTCGATCCCAGGACCCCGGGATCATGACCCAAGCCGAAGGCAGACGCTTAACGGCTGAGCCACCCAGGCGCCCCTGGGAAATTATTACTTTAAATGTATTCTTCACAATTTTAAGTGTTAACATCCTCCATTAAGTCATGCCGACAACTATCTGAGCCAATATTTTTGTAATGAGTAATTTAAAAAACCCAGGATAATTGCTCTTATTTTTCACCGTTTTCTCTAGATTCATATTATTACTTCTAGCTTTGTTTCTTTGCTTTTCTTTAATAACACTGATAACACAAAACTGTAGAGGAGAAAACAACCCTAGATTCTAAGACTCAAACTTTGTCCCCAAATTGTTATAACCTTTGGATTTTTATCCTGATCTGGGTTTTTCAAATGATATGATTTTTATAAAGGAAAAAAATCCCAACCCTTGAAATATATAAAAGGAGATTAAAAAGTTCATTGTCAGCTTGTGTAAAGGATTATTAAAAACTTGTGGACCTAACAGTGCTCGTTGTGTGGTGACGTGAGGCGTTGTTTCTGTATTGTGTAAGATCTGAAGATGAGATTGTGTTCCTCAGTCTAACAGCTTCCCTTCACAGTAGTTAGGAATCATGTAATTATGAAACCGAGCTTCCTGCCACTTATACATATTCAGCCCGTGAGAGGCACAGAACCATGGTCTCATCTTTTAACGCTATTTGAATTGTAAAATTATAAAAAGGGAAGTATTAATAGTAATATTGCCCGTTAAGTAGGAGGATGTACTTTGGAGGCAGTTTAAACCTTTGAAATCAAAGGAGGTACCAAAAAGAAGCAGGGCTCAGCTGGTGGATGGGTATATGAGCAGTGAGTCATAACAAGTTTGAGTAGAAGGTCAAGTTGAAGCTAATTGTGAGACGAGTGTTTAATGATTAACTTTTATGTATTTTTTTTTCTTGCAGAAAGCAGCTGGCCATCTTGGCTGATCTAGTGAGAGATATACCGCTGGAGTTTGACTTCCTCTTTTCCCAGTCTCAGGCAGAAGTGATCTCTGGGAAGCAGGAAGGTACTGGGCCTCGAGGGGCACACTGGTTTGGCTCCCAGCCAGCTGTGGCATAGTCTCTCTGGCGGGAGTTTAAGATAACTTTATATATTTGATTTTTATTTTTCTTCGAATAATTTTCTTAATTCTGCTGTATAGTTTTTTTTTATTATTATTTGCATATTCTGCATTGGTATCTGTTTTAGAGTCTGCTTTTAGAGGGGAGGGGGGTGGGGCATGGAGTGAGTGACTGGGTGATGGACCTTAAGGAGGGCATGTGATGCAATGAGCACTGGGTGTTACATACGACTGATGAATCACAAACTCTGCCTCTGAAACTAATACTCTGTATGTTAATTAATTGAATTTAAATTTTTAAAAAATGGAAAAAGAAGAATGCTGCTTTCTAGAAGTCCTATGTTTATATTTGTTTTTAACTTTGTGCTAGGTACTATGTTTATAAGAATGTGTTAGTATTTAGTGATGATTCCAAATGGATATTTAGTTAGTTAATTTTAGTTTTGAAATCATACATACTTCTCTGAGGTCTACTGAGTTTGCCAAATTCAAATGTAAAGTAAACTATTAAAGTAAGGGGAAACTTTAATTTTAGGGGGTGATCGGGATGATCACTACTTACTTTTCTTTTGTTACAGGCTCTCCCTTTATTGCATTTTACTGTGCAGTACTGATACTTCCCTAAAAGCTTGCACTTTGGGAGTGGAGTTGAATATGTGTTCTCATGTGGCCCAAATGTGGCCTGTATGACAAATTATGTTTCCATTTCTTGAAAAAGAGAAAATCCATGCATTCTAGTTACAGTTCACATAAGGGAAAAGATTTACCTTTTTCAATTTCAATATTGCATTTTTCAGCCCTAGAATTTTCATTTGGTTCTTTTTTATATCCTCTTTCTTTGCTGAAACTGTCTATCTTCCATTCATGCTAGGACTGCTCTTATTTCTTGATTATATAGCTGCTTTAATATCTTTGTCTGATAATTCTGACATCTGTGTCTTCTTGGGGTTGGTATCTTTTCCCTTATAAGTTGAGAATTTCCTAGTTCTTTTTATGCCAAGTAATTTTATATTGTATCCTGAACATTTTGAATATTACATTATGAGACTCTGGGTCTTTTTTCAATCATAAGGAGAAAATTGATTATTTGATTTAGTAGGGAGTTGACCTGGTTAAGTTTATGCCTCAAGTTCTGACCTGCCTTCTGTTGGCTGTGATTCTGTTGATTCATTTTTCAGAACCTTGGCACTGCGATTTGGATTTGTCCCATTTGTGTGATACCCAGTGGCCAATATAGAACCTGGGCATAGCCCATACAAAATGGGTTGTCTAGCCAATAGTTCAGTTCTCAGAACCTTTGGTATATTGTTTAGAGTGAGATCCATGCATGTGTAGCTTGGTTGTGAGCCCAGGAGTTGATATACTATTTTATTCTCTACTCTCTATAATCTCCCCAATACTTTCTGGTTCCCTGGGGCTTACTCCTCCAGTCAGAAAGCCAGGACTTAAATTTACCTGCTCTGCCGTGCATTTCCCATGATTGCATCTGTATCCAGGGCTAAATGGTAGGAGACAGAGGGAGAAAAATAAGCAATAGGGATTTTCTCCAACTCTTAAGGCTCCTCTAGTCAGAGAAAGGATTCATGTCCTTCAGAGTTTTAGGTACCTGCCCAACCTTTGCCTCTACCCCTGCAGGATTGCCTGGTGTAGCAGAGAACAAAATAAAGGGAAAAAAACTCAAGAGATTTCCCTCCATTCTTTCTGAGCCTTTGGAGTCCCTTTTAATGCTTCTTGGACCAGAAAGCAAGGTCTTGAATTTCTTTCTCACCACACCTGTATGTCCTTTTGTGTTTCAAGCTGCTCTTGAGTCCAGGCCAGGCGATATCTGGGGAGGAAAATGGAGAATTCACTACCAGTTTGGTGGTACTTAAACTTCTCATCTCTGTTTCAGTGTGCCCATTATCATTTCCTTTCAGAGGTCTCACAAATGTGCTCCATACATTCCGTCCAGAGTTTACATTTGTATTCAGTGGGGAGACAGGATGGAGTGTGCTTACTCCATCTTGCCCAGAACCAGAACTCCCAAGATTCACATTTTTTTACCATTTGTTTTTATACATTAATCCATAATCATCTGTAGGAAATTTAGACAATGTAAATCATTTTAAAGGGAAAAGCATCATAAGATAAGAGATTTTAAATTCATACACTGAAAGTGTGGAATAAAATACTCTCATCACCTTTTTCTAAGGAAAGGAGGAAAAGAGCGGCCCTGGGAAGAGGTGTAGACATGGCATAGCAATAGAGAATTAAGCAAGGACTTTCATATTTCTTACTTAGGAGTTTATGCATGGATTGGAATCAACTTTGTTTTGGGAAGATTCGACCATGAGGATGGTGAGTAATGCTGTCATCTTATGAGAGTTCTAAGCGCTGAAGGTTTATGTTGTAACCTATCAGTAGAACATAAGTGCTATGTTTGAGTTGTTTTTCTTTCTTTCTTTAGCTTTTTAAAACGCTTTTAAGATGCTTCATTTTCCAGTCCTAATTTGCCTTCTTTTATTTCTTTTTAACTTTTTAATATGGAAAGTTGTAAACATTCACAGAAGTAGAGTAAACAATAAAATGAATCTCCATGAACCCAGTACCCAGACTCAACACTAATTAGTGATTGACCAGTTTTTTCGCCCCACACTCCCTCCATACAGCACAGGGTTTTTTTTCCTATTGGATTTTTTAAAAAATATTTATTTATTTATTTATTTTGAGAGAGAGTGAGTGAGAGCTAGAGAGTGCGAGTGGGGAGAGGGGCCGAGGAAGAGAATCTCAGGCAGACTCCCCGCTGAGCATGGAGCCCAACATGGGACTCGATCTCAGGACCCATGAGATCATGACCGAGCCAAAACCAAGAGTCAGACGCTTAACTGACTGAGCCACCCAGGTGCCCCTCCTATTGGATTTTTAAAAGCAAACCCCAGACATATCATTTTATCTTCATGTACTTCAGTGTATATCTCTCACCAATGAGGAGTTTCAAAACAAATGAAATATATGCAATGGCGTTTTTAAACTTAAAAAAGTTAACAATTTCTAATATTATGTAACATTCATCTACCCAGGTAAAGACTTCCCTTATTGTCTCAAGAATATTTATTTGTAGTTGTCTTGTTAAAATTAGAATCTGGTTGAGGATCACATGTTATGTTTGATTGATCAGTTTCTTACTCTAATTTATAGATTTTAATGTGTTTGATGCATCATAGGCCATCACATCATTATTCTTTTCAGTGTTCAAATTATACCATCATTGGCCAGTAGGAGCACCTTTAAGTTGGGTCCTGTACCTTTTAACATCACAGTAGTCTTGTAGTCTATTTCCCTTGCTTTTTGGTACACTAAGGTATTCCATGCTCATCTTGTATTCTTTCTACCTTAGACCTAGCATCAGCTACTTTTTAAGGAGCCCTGGTTTCTTTTATTGAAAAATGATATTTAGTGACCGTGGATGCCAGGGGTGTTCATTGCTCCTGGATTATCCTTGCTCCTAGGCCCTTTCAGTGAACAGAGCTAGAAAAAATATATTTTTAGAAAGAGAAAAATAAATCATGATTTCATAGTATAGTTCCAATTCATACTTAAAATTATAAGGTTATTGCTTATCTTTGATTTTATACTTATATGTTTTTTCTTTTATGCTGATTATGTTTCTAAAGATATTAATATAAACATTTGCTTTATTTCATAATATATGCTTAATTTACTAATAAAATCATTATCAATAAGACTACTGAAATGCAGTTTAAGATAGCTATTTGCTTCTATTGTCATTAAAATACATTCTATAAGGGATATAGTAAAAATGCTATGTTTTAAGTTACTGTTTTAAGTTATAAAAGAATTCTTTATAAGGGTGCCTGGGTGGCTCAGTCGTTAAGTGTCTGCCTTCGGCTCAGGTCATGATCCAGGGTCCTGGGATCGAGCCCCGCATCAGGCCCCCTGCTCAGTGGGAAGGCTGCTTCTCCCTCTCCAACTCCCCCTGCTTGTGTTCCCTCTCTCACTGTGTCTCTCTCTGTCAAATAAATAAATAAAATCTTTAAAAAAAAAAAGAATTCTCTAATATATAGGTGATATTATTAGATTAATTTATTTCAGTTTTTCATTTTTTAAGGGATTTCTGTTCTGTTTTTTTTTTTTCTTTTTGATTTAATTTTGTTTTTTAATTACTAGATCCTTTCTGTTCCCTTATTTATTTCAGAATCCGATGCTGAGGCTCCCCAGGAATTGGCAGCAGGGCGCAGAAGGACAGTAGGGATACTGGATATGGGAGGAGCCTCTCTTCAAATTGCTTATGAAGTTCCTACCTCAACCTCTGTCCTTCCTCCAAAACAGGTATTTTACCTTTTAGGGAAATTCAGTTGCTAGAAATGCCAATATTTGAGAAGAAGGTCACTGTCTTTGGACTTAGACCAACTTTCCTGGGTCCAAATATTTGTTGAGATATTTGCTAGCTTATATTACTTGGGTAGGTCACCTCTCTGAGCCTTAATTTCCTCATATATAAAATAAAAAGTGAATAATAATAATATCTACTTCATAAACTTGGGAGGATGAAATGACACCATGTGTGTAAAGCACTTTACAAACTTCCTAGTATGTGATAAGTGTTTAATAATTTTAGCAATTATAATTATACTCCCCGACTCCTAGGGCTGCCTGAAGATTAAACATGATAATCCATATAAATCCCAGAGTACAGTATTTGATACATACTTGTCTGTTAAAGTTATTTCCTTTCCCTTGCTTATGATTCCATTCTTGTGCTTCTAATATTCCGTACCTGACTAGAGTGTAAAGAATGTATCTCGAAGGAGAAGTTTTATCATAGAGAGGAAAAAGAAATGCAGACAGTTTTTAAGCACCTAGTATGGGCAAGGAATAAGACATACTGCCCCCAAAAGCTTATAATCTATCAGTGAAGATAGCCTATGATAACAGGTAGACCATGACAGTGCTATCATTTGATCTAACCAGAGTTTCTCATCATTGGCACTATTGACATTTTATTGTAGCTGTCCCATGCATAATATGATGTTTAGCAGCATCTCAGGCCTCTACCAGATGCCAGTAATGTCCCCACCCCATGTTACCTGCTCCATGAATGGGAGTCATCCTGGCTTGTTACCTGGGTTTTGGATGATAGTAGGCTTTTGCATAGTGGAGGTGGAGGAAGGCCACCTGTATGGAGGCAACAGTATACACAAGGGCACAAAAGAAGCAGTGAAGAGCCCAGAATGTCCAGGGAATGGTGAATAGCTTGTTGCAGTATATGATTTTCCAGTGTAGTATAGCTAAGTCTAGGAAGATAAGATGAAGGTAGATGGTGAGGAGTCTTAGGTGCCACGCTAGGGAATTTCACTTTTATATCTATAAATGGAGGAGAATTAGCAAAGGTTTGGACCTCATTTCATCATCTGTGAAGTAATTAAACTCCTAAGGTCCTTTTCAGCTCTGTATTGTGTGACTGATCTAACTGATTTTTTAGGAAAATAATTTTGGTGATATTGGAGAAAGAAATGTAGGTCAGGGAACCTTGGGTGAGAAGTAATAAGGGCTAAACTAGGCAATGTAAGTGGAAATGGAGTGGAGAGGACAGATTTCAAGGATTTGGAATTTAAAAAAACAATGTAATATAATGGTGTGGGTAGGACAGGGAAGGATGGCCAGTGATGCTGAGGTTCCCTCCTAGGTACCTGGTAGGGTAAGGAACCCAGCTACTGAGAGAGACCCCAGGATAAAGGGTGGGTTGATGCTAAGCAAATCAGTATGGTCTGGTGGTTTGGGTGAGAGCGACTTTCTAATCTCTAGCCCAAGTCCCGCGACCAGTGAGTTCAGTTTTGAGTATGTTGAATTTGAAATATCTGAGGAACATATGTGTTTAAATATCCAGCAAGATTGTTGAAAATGTGGATTTGACAATCAGCAGGGGTCTGTGCAAGGTTTGGAAATTTGGGGAACTAGGTTGTAAGGCATTTTAATTTTAGTCTATATTTGCTAGTATGTCGTCAACAGGTAAACTGAAGGCCATGGTTCCGGTGAGTGGCACTGATCCTTAAAGTCTTAAACAAATGACTTTTTTGTTTGTGTAGATTTAGAAAGTGACACTGGTGTAGAAAGTATATTTGCAAGCAACAAATTAGATGTATGCATAGCAGTATAATGATCTTAAAGGTGGATCTCAGTGCTTGGTAAAGAAGGAAAAGAACAATGAGACATAACACAATAGCATTTTACAAAATATAAATAATCCTCAATGCCCAAAGTGGTTTTTTTGTACAATTCACAAAGTTGCGCACGTTCACAAAGTAACCCAACCACCACTATTGAATTCTAGAATGTGTTTATTATGCCCAAAGAAACCCCGCATTCATTAGTAGTCACTTGCCATTCTCTCCTTGTAGCCCTGACAGCCAATAATCTGCTTCACTGGGGCATCTGGGTGGCTCAGTTGGTTAAGCATCTGCCTTCAGCTCAGGTCCTGATCCCAGGGTCCTGGGATCGAGCCCCGCATCGGGCTCCCTGCTCGTCGGGGAGCCTGCTTCTCCCTCTCCCCGCTCCCCCCTCCCCATTTGTGCTCTCTCTCTCTCTCTCTCACTCGCTCTCTCTCAAATAAAATTAAAAAAAAAAAATCTGCTTCACGTCTCCTGTGGATTTGCCTGTTCTTAGTATTTCACATAAATGGAATCATACAATATGTGACATCTTGTATCTGCTTCTTTCACTTAGCAAAATGTTTTCAGGGTTCATCTCTGTTATAGCACATGTCAGTCCTTCATTTCTCTTCATGGCTGAATAATATTCCTTTATATGACCATGCCACATTTTGTTTATCCATTCATCAGTTGATGGACTTTTGGATTTTATTTCCAGTTTTGGGGCTATTATGAATAATGCTGCTGTGAACATTCACATACACATGTTTGATTAGTCATAGTTTTCACTCCTCTTGTGTATATACTTAGTGAAATTTCTGGGCACCATAGCATCTTCATAAATTAAAAACAAACACATTCAAAACAATAATTTCATTTTACAACAGTATGTACAAACATACATTACACATTGAAGCACATTAGAATGGTTGCCTGTGGGGAGTGGGAATGGGAATGGATATGAAGATAAAAGGAAGTAAGTAAATAAAACAAAAATGGGGCTTTGCCATAATAATGTACCATGAACTGAGGAGTATGATTAATTCAACCCATGTACCTGAAGTTAAAAAAAAAATAGAGCCCCTTTTCATTGGAGGTCCAGTAAAACGGAACTTTCCCAATCCTAGTCCCTGTCGTAGGGAACATTAGATCTTCTTGAATAGTTTTAGAAAAACCCATAGACTAGGTCTCATAATGATCTCCCAAATTCCTTAAATTTATTTTTATCAAAGGATTTTTTTTTTCCCGATGATAAAAATAGTACATTCTCATTTTGGAGGATTGGAAAATCAGAAAAATATGTGCAAGAAAATGATATCATCTGTAATAATGATTCTACCTTCTGTAGAACTACAGATAGTGTTGTAGTCTCTAATTTGGTATTTAGTCTCTGTACTGTTTTATGTACGCTTGTCACTTTGTGTCTTTGTTGAAAATAATGCTGTAAGAATGAGAGAATGCTGTAAGATATCTTAAAAAGTAGTTATAGCACATGAAGACTGGTGTATTAGTGATGTCATAGCTTTCTGTCAGTCAGCCAAAACTAAAATTCCCTTTTTTCGCTTTACATTGTATTATAGGAAGAAGAAGCAAAGATCCTGCTGGCTGAATTCAACCTGGGCTGTGATGTGCAACATACTGAACACGTGTATAGGGTTTATGTCACGACCTTCCTGGGTTTTGGGGGCAACTTTGCCCGGCAGCGCTATGAAGACCTTGTGCTGAATGAAACCCTTACCAAAAATAGGTATGTCTGACGTGGGCATCTGTGCCTCTGAAATAGAAGGTCGTCAGCGTGCAGATACTAGGAAGAAATACTCCTGTCCTACTATGATAGATATGTCCTTGCTTCCTCCTTCTTCCTAACCACTCCTGCCAATGGGGTAGTATTGCTTAGAGACCCTCTATTTGTAGTCCCACTCGATCTAGGTGAGGATGCATTCTGGTCAGACCCAAAAAAGTTTAGCAGCTTATTAGGACCTCTTGCAGTGTCCTGTTTCAGAAATGGTATCATAGGATAAATGAAATTAAGTTCCTTTTTTTTTTAAGAATTTTTTAAAAACTTATTAGAGAGCAAGCACAAGCAGGGGGAGCGGCAGGCAGAGAGAGAAGGAGAAGCAGGAGGCTCGATCCCAGGATCCTGGGATCATGACCTGAGCTGAAGGCAGACACTTAACTGACTGAGCCACCCAGGTGCCCCAGTGAGATTAAGTTCTTCATTTACAATGTGCAGTGTAATGTAGCTCTTAGCAGTTCCCTCTACATGGAAGACATATTTGTTGAATTACAGTGGAGTTGCATCTTATGTGGGAGTGAGGTCCATAGTGTACATAAAAGAATAAAAAGCATGTGAAGTCAGAATTAACCTTTACATTGTTCTCTCATTAAGTCCAGAACAGCCAGTTTGCTCTGCAGCACGGACAGATCACAGACTCTTCATTTGAGTATCCCGTGAAGTATTTAGGCTGTAATGTACAAATAGTTGTGAGATTTTTTTTTTATTATTTAAAATTATTGTATCATTATGTGCATCGAAGGAAGCATAACAGACAGCAGAGTTTTTTTCACCATAAAATTATTTACCCCCATTTGTTTTGCTAGAAACACTAGGTGGAAGAAGTACCAGTATAGCCTATTTATAATAACTTCTCCATGGCAGTTGTCTTATATTGGGACCTTGTTAAAGAAAATACTGTCTCATAATTCTTTTTTGCTTTTGTGAGTCTCAACTGCCAAGAGTTCACAGCATTTTGGGAGAATTCTGTTACCACAGATGACTGATGAATGCATTAAAATCAGTCCGTGTGTTTGCATTCTGAAAATACTCCACATTTGTATTCCTGTCGCTTGGGATGCCGGCACCGCAGCATCTGGAGAACGGTTATGAGGGTTTCACACCAATTTTGTTGTGGTCCTTCTTTGTTAGCTGCTGTGCCTCCTTTTCCATTTCCTTCCTTTGTTGTTCTGCTGCCCTTTTCTCTTTGCTGTTTTCTGCTCAGAACTTGCCAGGCTGCATCATCATTCTGCCATGCACTGGTATTTTCTTGCCATGTTTCTAAGTTCCTAATTCAGAAGATTTATTCTTCATCTCGTGTAGCTTCTAATCCACTAGAGAAACCTGTGCTTCCTGGGATGTCAGAACATAATAGTTCCTTCCTCTTCTTCTTCTTCTTCTTTTTTTTTAAGAGAAAGCGAGAGAGCGAACGGGGTGGAGGTGGGGGGGAGGGAGAGAGAGAATCTCAAGCAGGCCTCATGCCCAGTGCAGAGCCTGATGTGGGGCTCGATCTCATGACCCTGAGATCATGACTTGAGCCAAAATCAAGAGTTGGATGCTCAACCGACTGAGCCACCCAGGCGCCCCTGGTTCTTTCTTCTTAATATGATTTTCTGAGGTGGTTTTGTTTTTTTTCCATAGTTGGTGTCACATCCTTAAAATAAGTTCCAGTCATTCCAAAGCATTTTGTGGTGTTGCCACATTCCCACTCTCTCCTTCAGTCTTTACCCTTGTGGGGGCATCTTCGTCCCAGGAAGTCCACTCTTCAACATGGGTCTCTTCAGAAACTGGTGAATAATTAACCGTGGTTGGCAACATTATTTGGTCTTCACTTAATTTCTGTTCTCAGCCAGATCTGTATTTCATCCCCTTAGGAATGGGAATTTTGTTGCTGGGCAAAGTGCTGACTTGAAACAGCCAGAACTGTGTGTCGGCTACAGTAGGGATGAGAACCTGCCCCCCCCCCTTCCCTGCGAGGGGCCAGGCATGTCCCTCCTATTGCCAGCAGTTGTTACTGCATCACCGACAAGGTCCCCTCCTCAGGAGCCTCTCCCAGGCCTGCCTTCTTCACCTCCTCCCAGGGTTTTGGTAAACGTTAGAACTGCACTCGGTGTGGTGAGATCTTGACACTTTTAAGAGACCAGTGGGAATGAAGACCAGACTGATACCCGCAGATTAACATTTCCAGTTTCACTCTGCGCTGGGAGATGTACATGTGGACTGAACGGTTGGACAGAATTTGATCACTGCCATAATTCTCTCCTTTCCTTCCTTCCTTCCTTCCTTCCTTCCTTCCTTCCTTCCTTCCTTCCTTCCTTCCTTCCTTCCTTCCACTAAATTGAATTTGCTTAAGGTAAATTTTGATGTTACGACTGATGCTAAAACTCCATTCTTGTTTCTAGGGATGCCATGTAAAACAACAAGATAATCTGTGAAGCACATTCTTAGACCAAGTTTCTTAAACTAGGCATTTCTTAGAAGAGGGTGAGTACATCAGTGAAGTGTTTTGTGTGTTTTTGTCACTGTGACAGGTTGCTGGGCCAGAAGACTGGTCTGAGTCCAGACAATCCACTTCTGGATCCCTGCCTGCCTGTGGGCCTCACAGATGTGGTGGAGAGGAATAGCCAGGTGCTGCACATCCGAGGAAGAGGAGACTGGGCGTCTTGTGGGGCGATGCTGAGCCCCCTGCTGGCTCGCTCCAACACCAGCCAGGCCTCGCTGAATGGCATCTACCAGTCACCAATTGACTTCAACAACAGCGAGTTCTACGGTTTCTCTGAGTTTTTTTACTGTACAGAGGATGTGTTACGCATTGGTGGCCATTATCACGGGCCAACGTTTGCCAAGGCTGCCCAGGTAAATTATTTATAATAAAGATGACTCACGCCAGCTGCAGCCATTTATTGGATGCCTAACTTTGTATCAGATGCTGTTCAAAGAGCTTTGCATGCCTGATCTCACTGGATTCTTCGCAGGGGCCGTATGAGCCCTCATTTTATAGATGAGAAAGTGGACTCAGAAGTTAAGGAACCCACTGTGCTGGACTGTCTTCTAGTTCATTAAGCTTAGGTTTCCATGCATGTCGTGATCACCCAGATTATCACCCCAGTCCATAATTGTGGTGGCTAACGGTTGTTCCTCTAGTTTTCCAATAATCTTGTTTAATGTTTGTGGCCAAAAGTATCATCCCCAGAGATTTTTCTCCTTACTGGGTATTCTCAATTGTAATGTGCTTTTGGAGATGATGTCACACAGGTGGGCAAGTGCACTTTCATTTTTTTGGTTTGAGTCATTAGGAGACCAGAATGGTATATAGGGTCACTTGGAATATTAGAAAGATGTTGGGAAAAGCAATGTCAGTGTAAGTATTATTTAAAACTAAAATGCAGAAGAAATAAAAATTCATTTAGAGCATATCTAGGATGTTAGCAGCTTATAAGCTTAAATCATTAGTTACCTGAACAGGTAAAAGTTTAGCTAGCTTTCTATAGCTTTTTTTAAAAAAAGATTTATTTATTTTAGAGTGAGCAGGTAAGCAGGGGGAGGGGCAGAGGGAGACTATAGTTCCTTTAATTTTTTTTTTTAAGATTTTGTTTATTTGAGAGAGAGAGAGCGTGTGTGCACACACAGTTGGGGGAGGGGCAGTGAGGGAGGAAGAGGGAGAGAATCTCAAGCAGACTCCACACTGAGCACAGAGCCGAGTGCGGGGCTTGATCCCACGACCCCGAGATCACAACCTGAGCCGAAACCAAGAGTGTGATATTCAACGGCTGAGCCACCCAGGCACCCAATCTCCTTCTTTAATTTAGATTCGTTTTTGAAGTTTTGCCTATCTTTCTGATCTCTTTTTTAGCACAGAAACTTATGGGAAGAATTTGTCCTTATATTTTTTATTCTTTCTGCTTTGTTACAGTTCTCTAGGGTTCTCTGGATAGAAGACTTGCAATTTAATAATATCTGTGGGGTGCCTGGGTGGCAGTCAGTTAAGCATCTGACTCTTAGTTTCAGCTCAGGTCCTGATCTCAGGGTCATGAGCAAGCCCCGAGTCAAGCTCTGTGCTCAGCACGGAGTCATGAGATTCTCTCTCCCTCTCCCTTTGCCCCTCCCACTTGTGCTCTCTCTCGAAATAAATAAATAAATCTTAAAAATATATATATATCTGTAGTATGTGTAATATTCTGTTCCCTAAAGGCAGTCCCTAAGAAATATTGAGGGGGAAAAAAAAAAAAAGAAATATTGAGGGGGCACCTGAGTGGCTCAGTTGGTTAAGCATCTGCCTTCAGCTCAGGTCATGATCCCAGGGTCCTGGGATCAAGGCGCATATTGGACTCCCTGCTCAGTGGGGAGTCTGCTTGTCTCTCTCCCTCTGCCCCCCCCAAATGTGCTCTCTGTCTCTCAAATAAGTAAATAAAATCTTTAAAAAAAAAAGAGAAATATTGAGGAAAACCTGGTTTGTATTTGTTCTTCTCCAGCCTCCAGGAATACACTCATATTCCTTTTCCTTTCCAGCATCCAGGGCTCTCTAAATGTCCATGGCCCGCATCTTTCTCTCATTTTAAAACTTCTTCAGATTCTATTCCCTTGAACACCAAAGGGCTCAAGTTATTGCTTGCCCAAGTTGCTAGTGGCTTAATATGTTCTCTTTCCCAGGTAAAAGAGATAATTTTGTTCTCTCTTTTTTTTTACTTTGACTCAACTGTTACTTTCCCAGTTATACCTTCCCTAGCAACCATATCCATAACTGCAGCCCTTCCCAATATTACCTGTTTCCCTTTCCTGTTTTAATTTTCCTGTGAGCATTTATGTCATCTAACACACTCTATATGTATGTGTATATGTACATAGGTATGTGCATGTTGTATGTATGCATGCATATATATGTATTTGGTTACTGTCTGTCTCTTACCACTAGAATGTGAGCTTCATGAGGACAGAAAGTTTTGTCTGTTTTGTTCATGCTAAATCTCCCTGGCACCTAGAATAGCACCTGCCACAAAGTAGACATTCAAGAAATACAAGTTAACTGATCAAACTAAAAGGAATGATTCCTTTGGGGAGAACTACAACATGGAGACAGGCCAGTGCTATAATTTTGACCGTTCTGTACCAGCTACTTTACCTGCTCGTGTTAGGCTGACGTAGAGCAGAATGAGGCTCCCTTTGGCTTTGATGTTGCTCTTCCTGGTCCTAACCTGATCCCTATCTGAAGCTGAAGAGGCTCAGGAGCCATGTTGTGCTGGCTTTGTATTGGACTTGAGGTGATGGGAATAAAAAGGAGACCCGCAGCAGCCTGCATCTGCATCTGGCACCTGTGTTGCATGGTGTCCAGTGAATGAAGGGGGCGTTTCTGTTTTCCTTTGTCAGCTAGTAGCCCATGAGTAACTTTAGACATGGAGCAGCTGTGACTGTAGGGAGGTTACAGGGTTTGGCTTTAATTTCACATTGCAGCATTTCTGTGCACTTGTTCCAGGATTACTGTGGCATGGCCTGGTCAGTACTAACTCAGAGATTCAAGAATGGCCTCTTTTCATCACATGCAGATGAGCATCGACTCAAGTAAGTAGCTTCCTTTTCTCCCTTAGATTTGGCCTGAAAATGTAGATGGCATATTATAATGAGGGAGAGAGAGCAAGTAAGAGCACAGATGGGATTTTATGCTGAAGGAGAATTTGATTATTTTTGATTTTGGTTTTCTGAGCAATAGGGGCTAAAATAGTGAGCCTAGTTTAGCAAAGTCAGCGAAAACCAGGGTCACCGCAAGGTTCTCTCTGAGTGGCTTGAAATCAAAAGTGGTGGGTTTTTTAAATTAAAATATGGAACATGCAGAAAGGTAGAAAGAAAAGTAACATAAACCTCACCCAGCCTCAAGAAATGCCAATATTTTGCCAGTTTGGTTTGTCGGTCCTCCCATTTTTGTAAACATTTGTAAAATATCTTAAACATAAACAAAAATAGAAGAGTATCATGAACTCCCGGATGCCTGTCACCCTGTTTCTCTACCAGTGGCTATCAGCTTCTGCCCAATCTTGTTGCATCCATTTTCCCACCCTTCTGCCCTCTTTACCACAGCTGTGTTATTTTGAAGCAAATCCCAGACATCATGTAAGTAGACTTGTAGATACTTCAGCAGGCTCCTTGAAGATTAGGACTCAGAAAAAGAAAAAGGGGGCACCTGAGTGGCTCACTTGGTTAAGTGTCCGACTCTTGATCTTGGCTCAGGTTGTGATTTCAGGGTTGTGAGATTGAGCCCCATATCGGGCTCTGCACTGGGCATGGAGCCGGCTTGAGATTCTCTCTCTTCTTCTGCATCTGCCTCTCCTCTGCCCTCTCTCACTCTCTAAAAAAAAAGAAAAAGAAAACACAGTCACAATATCATTACTGCGAAAAGGCAGTCCTCACTTTTGTGGTAAACAAGATAAAGTAGGCTCAGGTTTGGCTCCACCTAGAGGCGAGGAAGGTGAAGTAGAGAGAGACCGGTCTTTTTTGACATCCCGTGGGAGTATATAGAAAACATTAGAATTCTTTTTTTCCTCCTTCTTCTTCAAAAAAATATTATTTTGTCACACAGATATCAGTGTTTTAAATCAGCTTGGATGTACCAGGTTCTTCATGAAGGATTCCACTTTCCCTATGACTACCCGCACCTGCAGACAGCCCAGCTGGTATATGACCGAGAGGTTCAGTGGACACTGGGAGCCATTCTGTATAAAACACGATTCTTACCACTCAGGTAAAGTGGACTGAACTGGCATCTTGAGATCAGAGGGCGTTGGTTGGTGTCTCAGAATAGGTTTCGTAAGTGACCTTTCTCCCTCAAAAAAGCATCCGAACTAACTCCCTTTATTACTACCCCATGAACTATTATTACTACCCAAGCATGTTGAAACAGAAAGAAGGTTGAGAATATAATCCGGTGTCTCTTCTTTAGCTTTGCAATCTCAGGAATTCAGTTTTATTTGTTTATCCATAATAAATCAGTCTTTAGGATTGAGCTGTTACTTAACCAGTTTGGGACGCCTGGGTGGCTCAGTCGGTTGAGCGGCTGCCTTCGGCTCAGGTCATGATCCCAGGGTCCTGGGATTGAGTCCCACATTGGGCTCCTTGCTTGGCGGGGAGCCTGCTTCTCCCTCTGCCTGCCTCTCCCCCTGCTTGTGTTCTGTCTCTCTGACAAATAAATAATTAAAATCTTAAAAAAAAAAAAAAAAAGGATTGAGCTGTTACTTAACCAGTTCTAAGATACTGAGTGGTAAACTAAAATAAAACTAAAATGCCATTCTTCGGTTACTGTAGAAAACGTCGGACTAGAGAACTGGGGTAGCTGTGTGTACAGAGCGGTCTTTCCTAATGGCTAGAGTCACTCTAGAGAACATGTCATTGATTTAGAAGGCTTTTTGGTGGGCCAGAATCAGAACACAGCACATGAGATGCCCTTAGGGGGGTATTGTCATCAAGCTGTGATAGCCTGATGTCTTGCTCTATGTGCCATAAGATATTTGGGACAGTTTTAGGTTCTCTCTCCCCTGGATTGTTTCAGATAAACTAAAATGAATTTTTAATCTTTGTTGCCTGTTTCTCTAACCTCAGAAGGCAGGCAAGGGAGAGAGGTGAGAGAAGTGGGGAGATAGAGAGTATGCACTCCGGATGAAGGGCTGAGAACTGCCGTGCAGAAATACTGTACCACCATCTGCCAGTTCTCATTTGTCAGGACAAGCCAGAAGTCCATATGTCATAGGCAGGCATTCAGTTTGGAGATTCACATTTTAAGAAAACACTGCAGGTCAAACAAACAAAAATGGATCTGGTGTCTGGACCAAAGAGCGGCTTCATTCTATGCACGCAGGCTGCTGCACTTTGGCTTACAGGTCTCCTTACTTTTTTCCAGACTACAGTACTACTGACTAGGTGATAGCTTTCTCTAGATATAGCCTAAATCCTCAGGAAGTACAGTCAATTTCTTTTTCAAAGATTTAGATACACTCTGATGTCTTGATTGGATTTAGGGGCCACCCTATTCTTGTTAGTACCGTATTTACAGACTGGATGTATGTATTTACAGAATGGTATGGGGTCAGTGTTAAGACTAAGGTTATAGACGATCAGTCTTATCTTACTGTTCATTTTTTTGCCTTCTAATTTTGTCCCCAGATCCTGGAGGATGTAGGCCTGTGAGCCTCGCTCTGTAGGCCCTGGCAAAGAAAGTACAGGAGAAATCACATAGCGGCCCTCGGGCTGGAGACATTCTTTAGCTTTGCTTGCCCTGTGGAGCTGGTATCCTAGCATATTTGCATGAATAGAATAAATGAGATAACACTGCTGGCCTTTTAAATCAACATAACTGTTTCTCTTTGAAATTAACATGACTTTCCACCTTCCAACTCTTCCTAGGGATCTGCGGCAAGAAGGTGTTCGGCAGGCCCATGGTAGCTGGTTCCGCCTCTCCTTTGTCTACAACCACTATCTCTTCTTCGCCTGTATCCTGGTGGTGCTGCTGGCCATCATCCTGTACCTTCTGCGGCTACGCCGAATTCACCACCGACAAACTCGAACCTCGGCTCCACTGGACTTGCTGTGGATTGAGGAGGTGGTGCCCATGATTGGGGTACAGGTAGGGCCGTGAGGCCGGACAAGGACTTGGGAAGCTTGAATACCCCAGAGTTGCTGCCCACTGAGTTCCACCACTTTCTTGTACTGGCCTCAGATGCTGCTTTGCCTGACCTTGGGATCTTTGGCCTTGGAATTTCTACCTTAATATCTACTTTAATTCCTTTTCAATATCTAGGTCCTCTTCTCTGAGAGAAGCTGTAATTTAGTCTGTGAAGAACTAAATAATGAGAGTTTGGTGCTAACAAAGAGGACCAACCGTAGTCCAGTTGAAGCATGCTCCTACCCCTTTATCCGAAAGGTCTGGTGTGTTCCTGGCATCTAGATTTTTCTCCCCTTGCTAAAGCATGAAGTTTGGCATTGGGCAAACTGGAAGCCTGGTTATAACCAAACTGGAGCATCTGATAACAAAGCCGAAGACATTCCAGCAAGTGCAGCAGCCTCTTCTTTCTCTGTAACAGAGATATCATATATGTGGACATCCACACCCTTTAGTAGGGATCCAAGATATTTGCATTTCAGTGGAACAGATATGAACTTCCAGACAAACAAAATAACATAGTTTCTTTGCTTACTTGACAAATAAGTCATTATGAGTGTGGTCCAAGATCCCTGACATAATGTTGCTGATGTTAATTAATTAGCATGTGATTTTAAAAGGTTAGAATCCCTTCTAAGTGAATGGTCAGTCGAAGACTTTGACAGTATCTTATGTAATACCTGGTATGACCAGGATAGAAAATGTTTCTGTGTCTATGTGCTTCACCAGCTGTTTGGGCATTAATTTTTCTTTTTGAGCCTTAAGTGTGTTTGTAGGATGGAGAAGCTGATGGGATTGGAGATCTGGATTTGTCTGGTTTTAAGTCACTGTCTCTAGGCCTATTTTTATGAACCCCTTTACAGGAAAATATAAAAAGAGTTCCTTTATTTCACTAAGATCAATACATAGTTTAATGCATAGTTTGGGAAGGGATATATTTGGGGTGTTTTTAAAGAAGGAAAGAACAGTATCAGGAGAGTGGGCAAAGGCAATAAAACCCAGGCTCTTATTTATTAATGTTTTCCCGAGAAATAGAAATTTTCTCAATTTGGCTCTTGGAATGTCTGAAAAGAAGCAAATTCTAAGCTTAGGAATACATAGGTAAATCTGTTAATAAGCCACCTGGCAACTTTCAGAACCTTTGTTAAGAGATTGCTCAGTCGTAGAGTGCATTTCCGTTAATGAGGAGAGAGAAAAGCCCTATGATTACATTTCATCCACTGCCCTTCAGGAGCTCTGTTCCTCCCCTACATGTAGCCTTTAACTTGCACCTTCCCCCGTGGGATCTTCCTCGTGCTTTATCCTTTCCTACATGTAGCGTTGAATGTCCCTCCCAAGAATATGCTCCCAGACTTGAAGTAGCTTTGTTTTCCTTTTTGTCACTTTATTTTTAGGGCTGACTTTAATGGGGAAAAAAGTAGAATTATTAAAACATAAATTCCATAGTGGGATCAGAAAGGAATTAAATGCTTCATAAAACAGAGAAAAATCAAGATCCTCCTAGAAATGAACAGATGAAAATAAGTATACTCACTCTTAGTTGGTAGGTGAAAAGATATGAGTCTTAAATTGTTTTCAAATTAGATAAAAATGGATCTAGCAAAGGGTCTTATAGCTCCCTCTGGAAATATTTTTACTTTTCATTAGGGTTTTATGTCACAGCAATTTCCTTTAATCTTTAAGACTTCTAAATTGCCTTGGTTTTCTTTGACTTCTTACCTTTGTATCACTGTGAGTGAACCTTCGTCATATGAGTGCTGCTTATAAATAATGTCAGAATATGTTTTTTGCTAGCCAGTGCCTCCTCAGGTACTCTTTCTTTTTCCCTCACCTTGGTTTCCAAATACTATTTTTGGTTTTCTTGTGAGATCTGGTCAGTGATCTGGTCAAAAACTACCTAATTGGCTATTAGTGATCACATTCTTGTGCTCGAAATGAAGCTGAGGCAGGGAGGAGGTGGTGATGAATCCAGTTTGAAAGCTCTTATTAATGAAGTTATTCTTCTTCCTGGTTATAATAATGATAGCTGCCATTTGTTAAGCATTTACTGTGTACCATACACTCTTAAGGATTTTATGTATATTATTTAATCATTATGACAGCCTTTCAGATGGATATTACTTTTTTGTGTTCTTTTTATAATTGAGAAACTCAGGATATCCTATGCTTATCATTTTTTCAATGTAAATGTATTTCTTATTCTTAATTTATTTTAATTAGTTCTTGAGTTTTTGTTTAGTGTATTATATCCTGTTTATTATTTTAATATTATAGGATCTAGGCTTGTCTTTGTTACTGTATGACTTTTCAGAGTTCCATGGTATAAATCTAAGAAGGACAAATTTCTATCATACTCCTCAGAAAAACTGAGTATTTGCTGTCGGTATTGGTTTCTGTGCTTCTTTCATTGCTCCCAATTAACAGTTTTAAATGAAATCTCATTAGCTAGAGACAGGAGCCATTTATTCTTTGAAGGCCAATTACTTATATTGCTTTCTCATAATCGTCTTGCGAATGGAATCAATCTTGTCTTTAACCCTCTTTAAAGATTTTTTAAGATTTTTTAAAGATCTGTGTTTGTATTTCTGCATTTTCAGTGGTTTCCCTGTGAAGATAATTACGATTTCATTTAAATTCACATCCCAGCAGTTCCTTTGAATCTTACCAACCAGTCTTCTTGATAATAGCAAAATGAATGTGAATGGTTTTAGTACTTTTATCATTAGCGAGACAGGCCACAAATGTCAAAATCAGAGTCAGTGGCTGATAGGATGTGATGCTTTATTAGTCTTACAATGGCACAACCCATCACTTTTCTCTGAATTCTTGTCACTAGGACGTAATGAAAATATGTATCGTACCCACATATATGGCATTATGTTGATTTAAGTTGCAGTTAACTCTAGGCAAAATCATACCATCTTCATCTCTGTACATTAGCTCCTTGGATTGATTTTCCTTGGTGTAGGGAATTTAGTCACTTTCTAACAACCTTGTCTTAATCTTTCATGTTACCCAAAGCATTCTGCCTTCCCTCAGCCTGACAGCTTTTTTTTTTTTAACTTCAAAGGCCTTGGGCAGTGATTATTAAAATGTGGTTGATTGAGTCTGTCATGCACTTACTAAGCTAATCTTTTCAGGTATTAACATTTAGTATCACATCTATATTTGTTGTTGTATAGTTGACACAAAACATCGTATTAGCTTCAGGTGTACAACACAGTGACTTGATATTTGTCTACGCTACAAAATGATCACCACAATGAACTATAAATCTATAACTATAATGAACATAAAACTATAAATCTATAGACCAGATGCTCTGAGGCTAGTTCCAGAGGGACTAAAGGTTCTAGTTTCCCACATCACCATATAAAGTTAACTAACATTCAACTTGGTGTTATTGATTCTAGTCACTATGCTGAACATTACATCCCATGATATGACTTATTTATTTTATGACCCCCTTCTTTGTCTTGCCCACCCTCCCTGCTCCCCCGCTGTGGCAACCACCAGTCTGTTCTCTGCATCTATGAGTTTTGTTGTTTCTTCTTTTGTGTTTTAGATTCTACATGTAAGTGAAACCATATGGTATTTGTCTTTCTCTGACTTATTTCACTTAGCCATAATACCCACAGGGTCCATCCATGTCACAAATGGCAAGATTTCATTCTTTTTTATGGCTGAGGTAGTATTCCTTTGTGTGTGTGTGGAGGGGAGTTGTATACATCTTCTTTATCCACTCATCCATCAGTGGACACTTTGGTTGTTTCCTTATCTTGGCTATTGTGAGTAATGCTGCAGTGAACATATGGGTGCATATACCTTTTTGAATTAGTGCTTTCATTTTCTTCAGATAAATACCTGGAAGTAGACTTGCTGGATCACATGGTAGTTCCATTTTTTGTTTTTTGAGGAACCTTCATAATACTGTTTTCCATTATGGCTGCACCAGTTTACATTCCCACCAATAGTGCACAGTAGTTCCCTTTTCTCTACATCCTCACCAACACTTGGTATTTCTTATCTTTTTGATAATCGCCATCCTGACAGATGCGAGATGATATAGCTCATGGTTTTGAGTTGCATTTCTCTGGTAATTACTGATGCTGAGCATCTTTTCATGTACCTGTTGGCCATCTGTATGTCTTTGGAAAAATGTGTGTTCAGGTCCTCTGCCCATTTTTTAAATCAGAATGTGTTTTATTACTGAGTTATAGTTCTTTTTATAATTTGGGTATTAACCCCTTACCATATTTATGATTTGCAAGTATCTTCTCCCATTCAGTAGGTTGCCTTTTTATTTTGTTGATGGTTTCCTTTGCTGTACAGAAGCTTTTTAGTTTGATATAGTTTCATTTGTTTATTTTGGTTTTTATTGCCATTGATATTGGAGTCAGATCTAAGAAAATATAGCCAAGAGTGATGTCAAGAAACTTATTGCCTATGTTTTCTTCTAGGAGTTTTATGGCTTCTGGTCTTATATCCAAGTCTTTAATCCATTTTGAGTTAATTTTTGTGTATGGTGTAAGATAGTGGTCCAGTTTCATTCTTTCCCATATGGCTCTTCAGTTTTCCCAACACCATTCATTGAAGAGACTGTCCTTTCCCCACTGTGTATTCTTGCCTCCTTTGTTGTAAATTAATTGATCATAAATGCAAGGGTTTATTTCTGGGCTCTTTATTCTGTTCCATTGATCTGTGTGTCTGTTTTTATGCCAGTACCATACTGTTTTGATTACTATAGCTTTGTAATATAGTTTGAAATCAGGAGCATGATACCTTCACATCCATATTTACATTTTTGAAATAAAATAACTTCTACTTCTCACTGGTATTATCTAAACAGATGCTCTCCCCACCCCTATTCCCATGCTTTTGTTTTGCTTTTTGTCAGGAGTGAAAGACAGGTGGGTGGTATGATTTAAGGGAAAGAACACTGGTGTCAGGAACAGCTGAGTTGGATTCGTGTCCTGGCTTTATCATTGACTAGCTCTGGTATTCCAGGCAAGTCACTTGCCCTCTCTGGTTCATTTCTCATCATAAAACTATAAATCTATAGACCAGATGCTCTGAGGCTAGTTCCAAAGGGACTAAAGGACTAACCATTGGCCTAAGGAACTAAAGGTGAGGGAGAATGGAGGGAAGTGATAGAGTTTCAGGAAGTGGATTTTGGTCTTTGGTTTAAAAGGCCAGGTTGCCTAGGGGAGCCAGGGGTAATCTCCTACTTTATCCATTGTCCCTGACATTATGACATTAAGGTTGATGGGAATGGAGTTTCCAACAGCAATCGTTCTATGTAAATTTCAGAAGATGAGATTTTTACAGCTGGGATTTTAGAGGTCTGTCTTCTGTTAACCCCCTTGGGTTTTATGGATGATGAAATTGAGGCCGAGAGCTGTGGTAATATGTGCAAAGTCACAGTGAGTGGCCTCCTGGATTCAGTTTTCTCTGTTCTCTGTACTACAGATACATACCTTTGACAGCTGCAATGAAATTCTCATTGACAGAATCTTGCTGCAAGATGTGTATTTCAACAGAATCTATTCTTTATAATAGAGCTGACTGCAAGTAACCATGCCCAATCTTTATAACTGCTTCTGATCTTCATTTGTGATCGCTTTGCTCACATTTAGGAATAAAATATGAAAGAAATACTTTGTTAGAAATAGCACCAAGTTGTTACTACATCAATTCTACCTGCTATATTTGTTTTAATACTTTTAAACTTTAGATGTTTCTTTAAACAATTTGCTTAATTTTGTACAATTTTCTTAACCACAGCATCTAAGCAATTCATTTGATGGTTATAACTGAAATTATTTAAGGTGTAAATGCCTGTTAGATCTACCTCATTCATGAACTTGGCTGTAATTCTTGGGCAGTTCTCAGACTCCCTTACAGAAATAAAATGCTGTTTCTTTTTGCTGTCTTTAAACTTCTTTTCATACTCATTCAGTATCTATTTTCCCTGTGTGCTGTGGTATGTGATGTCACTTCATTTGGGATCAAGAATTAAGGTAGAAGTAGCCACAGATACTTCAGATTCTCCCAGATTAGCCTCTTAGGTCATACTTAATTTCAGGGTCCGGCCACTAGGGCCACATGCTCGATCAGACTTGCAAGGATTTGGTTGGTGGTAACAAAAAATACTTGTCAAAAAACAAGGACTCCTTTATTATATACTAATAGACTTCCCTTGTATTATTACGTAAGTGTTTTCCTTTTACTCTAATTCATTATTTCCAGTTTGTCAGTGCCATTATTAGAGGGACAGAGAAGGTCAACATCTGTTGACCATTTTGTTTCTCTGGAAGTCTGAGCTCTAAGAAAATCCTTTTATTTGTAAAATTGAGTCATTACTCATACTTTAAGGGCTTTTTAAAGTGTATTCAGTCGTGGCCTGCCATTTTTAGAAAACCCAAAATTGAAAAACCTTTCTAAGTCAAGGATGTTTATAGCCATGCATGTATGGTTTCAGGCAAGCCTGAGGACACATCTGCTCCTGAGCCTCTCCTTTGAAGTAGTGCTGCTCACAGCCCCCCCTGGTGGCCTACTACTCTGCTTCTCCAGTATTTAGGTAGCCCTGATGCTTCCTGAGGAGCCCGTCCTGCAGAGGACGTGCCCGAGTTTGGCCTGTTAAAATTGCTAGTGGTGAAGGCTCTGTACCTTATTAGCTTCACAAATCTTTCCCTGCATAAGGATCCCAGACAAATACTCTGATTTTTGGTATTGCCGTCATTATGTTGTGTTTGAAATTCTCACTCCACAATTCCTCTTTTGTGGGAGCCCTGAAGTGTTTGCCTTGTCTCCTCCATTACTTCAGCCTTCAACAATGAACTCCACAGTGTTGAGAGGCACCTATCATGACCCACAGCCAGACACTCCCTTCTTGCTTTAAAAAACCAAAGGCTGCCTATATTGCATCACTTCGGGGGGTTGCTAAGACTGTATGTTTTTCTAATGCTTCACATTAAATAATTTTGCTCAACAGTTGTCAAAGTTCTGTTAAGTACTGTTAAATCAGTGTTGAACAAAAGTGCAATGCATATTAGAGAGAGATGCATTGTCCCTTATGCAGGGACACGGCATATGTGTTACATAGGCTGATACATAACCCACCATTCGTTCCAGAACTGGAAGGAATGCTGCAGAGCAACTGGTCATCCAAATGTCATGATCATCACTTTAGGCAGTAGCTAATCAATACCTCTTCTACAGTGGACAACATTTGTTAGTGCAAGTTAAAGACAAAAAATTCTGGACTGATAAGAAAGCCAGGTGTTTTAATTTCCTTTGATGTTTTAAAAACAACTGACAGAGTTATTGACAAGACTTTTGAAAATATTAAGGGAAATTCATTTAATCTTCTAGGGATATGATGACTTATTTTGAAGGAAGTGTCTGGGACCTCAATCTGTAACTGTCCATTTTCCATTCATTCATGCAGTATTTGGTATATGTCTAAGCTGGGAATAATGCAAACATAAAAATAATTCAGATAATCTCCGTTCACCAAGAGCTCATAGATAGGCACAATACAGTTATATAGCTAAATGCAACCAGTATCTGTTTTTCCAAACTTACTCATCTGTAATAAAAGAAAAATGAAGTAAAACATCTGGAACTTGAACTTGTTCTTTGCCACTTTGTTGGAGGGAACTGTAGAAGCACTAGCATATGGCTTTTGGGGTTGGGTCAGACTGCTCTCTGCTGACTCAATTATTAACTAAGGACAACCTCAGTTTGGGGATCATGAGATGATGGATAGGAACCTGCCCCAGTGACCAGTTTCCTTTCTTTAAAGAATTCTATCTAGAAGAGGTGATAACCATGAGCACACTAATAGGATCAGATTAAATGAGATGGGGGTGGGTAGAAATTTGGAGGGGATGGCAATAAGCTGGTCAAAACTTTCTAAGGTGGCTAGGTTGTAAAGGCCTAGGCCAGTGGTGCCCAATTGCCTGCACACTGAAATGACCTGGGGATCTTAAAATACGTCTATTACTGCTTCCAGACATCATGATTTAATTGGTCTTGGGTGAGGCTTGGGTTTTAAGATTTTCAAAAATGTTAATGTGAAAAAAGTTAGAAGCTACTTCTAACAATAGCATAAGCCCCGGGGTCTGGGATTTTTAAAAAAAAATCAAACTACTTCTGTTTTGCTAAGAACCACTTGAGCATAGTAACTATAGGTCACAACGAAACTCACAGAATATTGGAGTTGAAAGGGAACTGAGATCATCTAATTGAGATTGTAAATGGGCAAACCTTAGGCCATTTATGGCTCTCAGATGTGTTCAGCCTGCGTCATGTTATAAAAAACCTGAAATTAGTTGCCAACCCTTGAGAGCTTTCACATAAAAATCTAGATGTTTTGTTTCTTTAAAAAATCGGATCTGACAACTCTGGAACTATACAGCTGCAACAGGCCAGAGTTCAGCAATGGTTTAACCCCTTAGCTGGGACACCTGCTCTCCACTTTGCCACTGTCTTCACCACAGCCTAGTGGGTGTTTGTTTTGATCCAACTCTTGCCTTCTACAAAACGAAAAACCAGCTTTCTGCATTTCTTTTTTTTTTTTTTTTAATATGGTAGTCACCATACATCATTAGTTTTTGATGTGGTGATCCACGATTCATTGTTTTCGTATAACACCCAGTCTAAGCCAAGCAGAGAAAGTCAATTATCATATGGTTTCACTTATTTGTGGAACATAAGGAATAGCATGGAGGACATTGGGAGAAGGAAGGGAAAAATGAAGGCAGCGGACATCAGAGGGAGAGATGAACCATGAGAGACTATCAACTCTGAGAAACAAAAACTGAGGTTTTCAGAGGGGAAGGGGGTAAGGGGATGGGTTTCTGCATTTCTTTTTACCCATTGCTCCCAGCTCTGCAGCATAAGGAAGCTCCTTCTGCATAAGAGGACTTCAACTTCTGAAGGGCAGGAATCTTGCTCTCTCCAAATGTTCCCCTCCAGCTAAATACCCCTAGTTCCTTCAAGTATTCCCTGTGGGGTATAGGGTTCTGGACTCCTCACCATCCTGGTCCCTTCCTCTGGATACATACTTAGTGGTCAATGTCCTCCTTAAATGTGGTACCAATGACGAAACACAGCACTTGCACTGAGGTATTCTGAGTGTGGCTGTGATACTTCCATTGATGAAATTGGAAACACCACTAATTTTTTACTTATCAGTGTTATCACATTATTGGTGCATGTTGAGCCTGTGGCCAACTGAAATCCCTGTCTTTTTTTATATGAAATGATATGCCAGGTTTCTCCACCTCAAACTTATACAACCTATTTAATTAAAATGAAGATGTTACATTTATAATGTTTAATTTCATCTTGCGGGTGCCACTCTGGAACTGTTTTGAGTTGTGACTGTCATCTATATTATATTAGTGTTGGGTTGTTCCATTCTCAAATCTGATCTTTGTGATGCCTTCATCCAAATCCCCAATTTAAAAAATAAAGTTGAGTAAGACCAAAATTACAACAATTCATTAAACAAAAATTTGTTTACGTATCTGAATAGGTGTCCATGTACTACCTATACTGTCAAGGCGTACTTTAATTATCCATGAGGCTGTTGGGAAACCCTTGCAGGAACGGATTATCTATCTATACCATTCACCTGACCTAGCGACGTAACAGCACAATCAAAAGAAGAACTAGGTTAGTGCTTGATGAGTCAAAGTGGGTTACCAGTGATTTTCTCCTTTTCTAAGTACTCACAAGCCATCTTGCTACATGCAGACAGTAAGCTTGTCGTTATGCCCTTTCCCCATTGTGAAAATCAGGACGCCAGAAGACACTACTTCCTGCTGAAGGCTCTCTGGCTACTTTAGGGTGTGAGCCAGTCCTTCCCTTTGAATCTTCACCTGATGTAAGTGAAGGTGAGATCATAAAGAATTTCTACTTAGGCAGAATTTAGGACTCAGGAGGTCAAGGAAACAAGAGATAATGCATGTAGAATCAAGAGCTTGCCAACATTAAGAAATCTGAGACAGTTTATTAAGAAGCAACAAATGCAGACATTTCTTTCTCTACATTAAACATGATTTTCAATGAGAGAACCAAATGTACAAATATTTAAAAAAGGATTTAGTTAAACATACTTAATGACACTCCTGATCCAGTGACTTTGTCAAAAACAGACAAAGAATTTTAAATAACTTGACCAATTTGGAAACCACTTGGTATGCCAAGGTCATCCTTTTAGAAGACTCCCTAGTTCTTGTGCTCTCTGATGAGCTCTCAAAAGCACTTTCACTCCTAGGAAGCTGATCCTCTGAGAATTATTTTGGGACTCTTCGGAGTTCACTCATGAGCCAAAGGGCAACACTGAGCAGAGCCAGGGAGCCCGACTGGTGAGTGGCAGCCAAAGGAGTTGGAACGTACATCAGCAGAGTGCTAATGCCTAAGCCCACCTGTTACAGAGAAAAGAATGCAGTCAAAAAAGCAGGAACCACAAATTCAGAACTGAAATGACTGGGCATGGATAACCAGATACATAAACCTCCACATTCTCCCATCAAAGCATTAAAAATATGTATTTTAAAATTTTCACAAGTAAATACACTCGCAGCAGAGGAAATTCAAACAAAATAGATAAACCTAAAATTCTCTTTAATTATCCTTCATCCTAGCCCAACTACCCTCCGCAAAGACAGTTTCTATACACTTGTACTTTTGTATCTATGTTTATAGAGAAACATACTTTTGTGCTTTTAAAAATGGGATTGTTCTGTCACTTTTTTTTTCACTTAATATATATCTTGAGATATTATTTTTAACTGCTACACAGTATTACACAGTACATGTGTACCATAGTTGTTTATTCAGGTTGTTTCCATTTTTTTTTTACTATCACAGCAATTGTATCATGAATTACTTTGTACACAGTGTGCCTTAGAATATTTC